TTAGCTTCGATATGTGTACAATCGGAAATAACCGATATGGGGTTTCAGCGATCTCCAATTTTACAGCATGATCTCCACATACGTCCGCAACTCGGAATGGCCCATGCCACATGTGCGCTAGCTTCTTCGCATATCCCTCTTTAACTCGGTCCAGGTATAGCCAAACTTGCGCTCCTACTTCGATCTCGTGTGGTTCCAGATCTTCGTTGTGTCGATCCGCTCGCTCCTGGATCGCGGCTTGTAAACGATCGTTCACTGCAGATCGGGCTCGCAGGTATTGTCTTTGGATTTTGTATCTCCACCTCTTTGGATCGCGATCTCGTGTCCCCGTATTCCCCACTGGTAGCGTAGCCTCCAAAGTCGATCGCGGGTCCCACCCATGAATCAGATAAAATGGGGTATCCCCCGGATCCGATCTTGTGCAGTGTTAATGGCAAAGGTGAGCCGCTCAGCATACTCATCCCAGTCTCGCTGGTCAACTTCAGCCACGTACATCTTGAGCGAATGTGTCAGGGTTTGCACCATTCGTTCGGCTGTTCCATTTGCTTGTGGCCTGTAAGCCATAGTAGCACGCTGTTTTTGTCCTACGATCCGACTGATGGCTCGAAAGAAGTCGGACATAAATCCCGGTTCTCGATCGTGCCTGATAGCCTCGCTAGCTCCGAAGCGTCGAAACACACATTCTTCGTAATTCTCCGCTATTGTTTGTGCCGTCCGAGAGGAGCTAGCCTTTGCAATCACATATCCCGAGAAAAGGTCGACCCAAATGAGCAGTTCGGTGTTCCCCTTGATGGACTTGGGCAACGACGGTATATGATCCATGGCGATGATCTGGAATGGATAGGTTGCGTGTAGATTGCCCGGGGATTTCCCATTAATCATCGGGTTTCCTTTCCCGGTCTCACAGTCGGTACATTCGCCCACATATCGTTGAACGCTCCGATACAGTCCTCTCCAATGAAATCGCGATCTTATCCTCTGATAGGTTCGGCCAATACCCTGATGGCCTCCTTCCAGACTCGTGTGATAATGATGCAAAAAATCCTGCTGCAACGTCTCAGGGATCACCAACCGCATCAAACCATCGCGATCTTCCGACTCTCTTTTCGCCGTGGGGCAAAAAAATAGCAGATTGTTCTTATCGATCTCGTAATCCGGCGCCAGTTTGGCGCACGTCTTCACTTCTACCGCATCCAAGTTTGATACATCGCCACTTAGATATGTCTTGAGATTGACAATCCAACGCTCTTCATCTTGAGCTTGGACAATTCGTTGAATCCTGATCCTCTGTACTATCTCCTCCTGTATCACTTCAGGTTCATGACGTATCCTCCTGGCTGATCTCGCGATCGCAGTTACCCGAGCTAGCTGACCATCTTGCTTGGGCTTCAACAATTCATCGAGACGGTTCAGAGTCATCAGATCTTGCCGATCCTCTTCAGCTACAACCGTTCTTCCCTTTTCGCTCTGCAATGCTGTGCTGGCTAGTCGATCTGCGCTCTGATTCCACTCTCGCTTCATATGCAGAAACTCGTGACTAGGCCATGACTGCAGCTTCTCCAACGCTTTGTGTCTCAGAAGCTGAAGGCCCGGTGCCTTGCAGTCGATCTCACCGCGCATCTGTCGAATCACCAGACTGGAATCTCCACACAGTATTACTCGCCCCCTATCCAGACCGGCGAGTAACTCAAAGCACAGTAGCAAGCCATTATACTCAGCTTCGTTCACAGTCAGATCGTGAACATATCTCGATTCGGCCGCCACGATCGTCCATTCGGGTAACTTCCATATCACGGCACTGAACGACCCTCCTTTCTTTTTTATCCTAGCCGATCCATCGAAACTGGCTACCAGCAACTCCTCATCTGTTTCCACCGTTGGAGGAGGCATCGATATTTTGAGTCGACAGTCTTTTCGTGGGGAGATCGCAATCAGCATCTCTTCCACCTCTCCTCTCGGAGTGATACTCGCTGCTAACATGCCCAGGATTTCTTCCTCTCCTCTTTCACATTTCTTCACCTCCATAGTCCAATTTGACAACAAAGCAGCCCACCGTCCTAATCTCCCGTTGAGCCCTCGAGACTGCATCAACCAGGCTAACGTAGAATTTCGGGTCAGTACAGTAATCTCCCGCGAGGCAAGCGTAGTATAGCATACATCCAACACACGAAGTAGCGCCAGCACTTCTTTTTCTACCATTCCGTAGTTAAGCTCATTAGGCTTTAAAGTGCGGCTAGTAAACGTCACCGGATGGTACACGCCATCGTACTCCTGTATCAGGGCCGCTGAGACAGCCCACTTGCTAGCGTAGACCACGATTACGGAGGACCGATCTGGGTCGAAATGCTTGAGCATGGGAGCGGTAGCTATCTTAGCTTTTAGCATAGTGAAAGCAACCTTGGCTTCCGTCCATCGACCCTCGTTGGAGCATTCGTCTCCTGCTGCAAGCTGAGATCGGCCGATCTCGAAGAAATCCGATTCTCTTAACTCATACAACACCGCGGCATACACCGCGAAATCCTCAATGAAGCGACGGTAGTAGTTCAAGCTCCCGAGAAAGGATTGCATAGCTTGTAGCGTGCTAGGAAACGGGATGTTAACCAACGACTCTAGGTTCTTGGGCTGAGCCTCCAGACCATCCATCGACACTCGATGTCCCAAATAATCGACCTTACGGCACCCCCAAAAACTCTTCGTGAGGCTGATAGACAGATTCCACTTATCACATGCCTCCAGCAACCGTTCTACTTTTGTGTACAAAGATCCCCATGACGCGGCTGGTATGAGAATATCGTCAATGTAAGATCGGCGTCCCAGTATAGACGGTCGTCGATCTGTCTCAGGTTCTCCATCTTTGAACACGTCGATCGGGCCATCAGAAGCTGATCTCTGGCCGATCTTGAGATATCCATACAACGCATTGTCCACCAGACGTTGGTAGATCTGGGGCGCGTTCTTAAGCCCAAAAGGCATTCGCAGCCACTCGAACAAGCCAAATGGTGTGACAAACGCTGAGATCAGTTTTGCTCGTTCGGTCATTTCGACGACCCAAAATCCACTAGCCATGTCTAGCGAACAGTACCATAGAGCTTTATCCAGATCTTCCAACAGATCGCTGATCAACGGCATGGGATAAACCATCAGACGCGTCAGCTGGTTAACTCTTCGATAATCAATGCAAAGGCGAATATCCACTCCGTTCTTCTTGATGATCACCACTATCGGAGAGGCCCAAGGTGACGTGGATGGCTGAACGATTTTGGCTGCTAATAGTCCTTTGATGAGATCTGACAGCTTCTCCCGATATTTGGGTGCGACCGGACGCACTCTTTGCGCTATCGGTGCTGCCCCACCGACATCAATATCACAGATCGCGCCTTGTGCTGCGGGTGGTAGAGCATTACCTTTACCCATGAGGAGGTGACGACTCTTCCAGATCAGCGATCTGAGCCGTTGTTGATCTGTGGTGAGAGGCACATCGGGATCACCGATCTGAATGTCCTCAATCGTAACTTCTTCCGTAGTCGCCGACATCTCTGGTAGCACGGCCATATGCTGCTCGATATCTTCCGCAAACAAATCTCCGCTCTCGTGGTGATAAACTAGTATTTCTGCAATCTCGACGTCTTCAGTATTTAGCATTATTTCTCCTTTAGGCTCCTTCGTCTCTTCCGGCTGGCCCAATTTCAACAGTCGGTCAGTCGGCTCAGCCTTCGGTAGAGACAATCTGTCACGTAGCCCTTCTTGACCGGTGTCGCGGTCTCCCTTCGTTGCATGTTGGGTACCGATCTCATGACCGTTCTCCATCCGCGATAGTTCGGCTCCCCTGACCGTTACTTCCCTCGCAACTACAGCATCTGCCTTTTGCGAATCGTCATCGTTAGCTTGCGGCGTTACCGTGGAGATCGCCGGAGACAGGTTCTGTAACGCATCAGACGGACGTTTCAAGATGCGTTTGGGAGCGGCATACGTAGGACGATCTACCAATGGTCCGATCGGTTCTTTCGGGAGTTCGTTCACTCGATCCGTTGTAGCCTCATATGCCAGAGTTTGCCATTCCTTGTACTTCCCCGACCCGACTGTCACCAAACCTTGGGTCCGCGGTACCATATCGCCTTCGACCCACATGCCTAATATAGTGTGGGTGGGCAGTATGATCTCCCGGTCGCCAATGTTGGTCATCTGCAGGTATTTCGTCTTACCCCACCCCGAGATCACAGTGGGGACCCAATCTAGTCCTCTAGCGACCCACAACTTCATCTTAGCCCCTCCGATCCCGATCTTCACTTCCCTTGACTCTCCGACCGGGATCACCACGTGTTGGTCCTTCGCCGTTATATGTTGTATCTTCGATCCGTACGCGGGGCGACGTCCTGCGAGATGAATGCGGATTTCTTCTGGTAGACATAGCGCGCCATCCGCTAGATCGAGCCGCACTCCAGCAGGCACCATAAAATCCATACCCAGAATCGCTTCTTTCCCTGCCAGATCGCCTACCCATACATTGAAATAGTATACCAGCGATCCCGCGAGGGTCACCTTGATCTTGGTACGTCCTACCGTCATGTACGGAGTTTCTCCAATCCCGATACATTCTTGTCGTTGACTTTCGTCAATATTGCAACCGACCTCACGAGCAAAGGTGGTGTCAATGATCGACACTTCAGCACCAGAATCAAATAACAGAGTAGCTTTTACGTTGTTGATCTTGCCAACGGCTTTCGCTTGTTTGAACCACTTCCCGGGTGAATAATGTTTCCAATATCCGCGAGATTCACCATAAGCGAGCTCGATCTCCATAGCTGGTTCAGATCGTGAGTACTCATCGATCCGCTTCAGATGGGACACGGAAGCGACACGTTTTAACTTCGAACGAGATATATTTGTTTCCACGTCAATATCCTGCTTACTCTCGCGATATGTCTTCTTTTTTTCCACGTATGCAATAATGCAGAGCCCAGAACGCTCGGCTCGTACCAGATTCAAACCTGGCGAGCGTCCTAGTTTAACATCTTCTCGGCCTTCTCTGGTAGCATCCCCGCATGCTTATTCGGGACGTACCACTGACGGATCATGTTGTAGAACTCCTCCATGGGACACTTCCCCGGGTCGTGCATCTCACCGCAAGCACGACACACGAAAAAACAATTGTCAGAGGGGTGTCCTTTACGCCCACACTTCTGGCAAGTGAGCCGCTTCCAACAACCGAGATCTCCATGCTTGGTCGATCCGCAATGAGTACACGGCTTCACTGGCACATTGCGGTCTTGATAGTCTTGACGAGTGTTCGGGTCGACCGATCTCGCGTTTGCTGCAACGTCATTGGGGAATGAACGGCGATCCGCAGTAGCAGCCACATGGATCGATCTCAATCGATCTTCCAAATCCGATCCGCAGGTGTCTGATCCTGACTCGCTGCAGACGTCCTCGGTACGGACCATCCTTACCGCTCGTGCAGGCTTAGACAGCGCTGGACCCTGAGTTCCCTTCTGTCTGAATTTGGACGATCCCATCATCACTTTCCCTTGACGCGATCTCCCTTGTTGATATCCGTGCAGTGTCTTTTGCATGGCCTCCGCGTCTTCTACATTCAGCAGTAGCAATTGATTGGACAGATCGGGGTCGTCCAAGGTGTCAATGAAATGATTGACATGTTCCTTGCGCGCAGCTGGCAATCCAGTCATCACCGGTATCTTCGCCTGCATTCCCATCACATTAAGCCGATACAGGTACTGCAAAGGATCTTCCTCCGATCGTTTCTTTGCATGGTAGTATTGCCTGCTCGCGGACATCCCGTGTCCCGCATTCTCCACAAGAAAACTGTTCATCAATTCTTTCCAATTGAATCTCGTCGATCTACTCAGCTGTCGGTACCAGTAGCGGGCTGGGCCCACCATGAGATCACCGGAGACCAGACATCTCTCCTCGTCCGGTGCTTGGTCCCGGATAAACGCTGATTTCACTTTGCCGATCCAGGTCCGTGCTTTGTCTTCTTCCCGATCCTTCCCTGAGAATTCTTTCAGCTCAGAAATCGCTGAGATTCTGATCCTCTGCGTGATGTTTCCCCCTCCGGTAGTCGCATCGGTCGCGGCTAATTGAGGGCGCCGTGGTTCGGGCATCCATAGATCATCCGGGTCGTATTCCGCCGCCTCATGGATATGTTGGTAAATGTCCGACCCCACCGACTCCATCTCCACATCCGGCATGTCAAGGCTTTCGTGTGAAGGTTGGAGCAAAGTACGTCGATCTGGGTAGCGGTTTGGCTGTCGATTCATTCGCTGAGCTGTACGTTGCTCCGCCTCGTACTTCTTCATGGCTGAATTGAAGTACCGACTTAGATCGCCCTCTTCTTGATCCTCCAGCCCAGTGCGGGTACTGGCCGATCTCTGCGGCATGTTGCTCTTGGCTTGTCCCTTATAGGCGTCGATCTTGGCTTGTCCGATCTTGTCCTTTAAGAACCTTCCACCCGATGGTCCTAGAGACATCTGACGAATGCTGATGGATCCATCTGACTCGCTCTCGGAGTCATCCGAGGCGTAGCGGGGCGATCCCGCGGGGTGTTTACAGAGCGAGCCCGAGGGCGTCCCGATCTTGTCTTCAGGAGTATTCGCTTTGCCCACCAGCATTATCATGATCTCTACAAACTTATTCGCCGCGTCCTTCAACTGTTCCAAGCTGCAACTCAGCAGTTCATCTCCATCAAAAGCGTCAGGGCCAGATACCCATGTCGTCCAACATCTGCAAAATCACATTGATCTCGTCGACTTTGTTGGTCCCGTGAAGTGGGACCGAGATCGGCTTATCCAGAGGACCAATCACCTTGGGCCTTAACATCTTGAACACTGGGTCCGTCTTGAGCAGCGTCTTCAACTGGCCATAATAGTACTGCCATTTTGCACGCTCCCGCGCTTCACCCGTCGTCTCCTTCTCCATGGACGCGATCTTTATTGGGTTATATTCCGTCTTTGGCATCGCGATCTTATCTGGTGTTTCATCGTATTCCTCTTTGGCTCCGATCTTCGATTGCACGGTTCGGCCGATCTGGCGATCTTTGACATCTGATCCCATCGATCTCGTCGCGGATCGTTCTGATGTGGTCGATCTCGCGATTGTGCTCTTCGGCTTGAGGTCGGGCGATCTATCGACTAAGATATAGGGTTTGGCTTTCGCCGATTTGGTTTTCACCGTTGGATTTTCATCCAGCAGATCGCTCTTTGCAGAGCGATCTGCGGTGGCCCCCGAAGGGACCCTAGGAGGGAATTGAGGTTTATCTTCCAGATCGATCTCTCGATCTTCCTCTTTCATTTTCATTTCATCAGAGCCCCTCCCAAAACTCTGATGATCTGAGGATCTTGTGCTTCTGCGTGTCTGCGTCGATCCCTTTGTCGCTGACACTTCAATCCCAGGTTCTTGCTTAATCTTGACATCTTCGCCAGTGGACTCACGGTGAAATCCAGAGGCCTCAGAAGATCCGGGCACGCGCACCATTGTGGTGAAGTCGATCTCACAAAATTGCTTGTATGAGTGTCGATCTTCCACTTGCCCAGACTTGCCGACTCACGGAGGGGGTACTCCGATCCGTGCCTTGTTGTATGACCTTGTGCTCACCGTGTGTACCCGTCGGTTGGGCTGGCTTGAGCTCTTCGTAACGGCCTTGGGAGATGTCGATCTCGCTGAGAGGTTGGGTTGAGGGTTCGCTTCTGGTGCGGAAATCTTCACACCACGAACGGGGGTTCTGCGATCCCGATCTTGGATCGCACCGATCTTGATTTGTCTTCGAGATCGGGGTCTTTGCTGTGCGGAAATCTTCACTCAGCAAATAAAAGTCCTGCGTCGATCTTGCCTTGGGATCGGTCCGATCTGGTCTTGGGATCGGCCGATCTTGCCGGAAGTGCGCAATTTGGGTAGATCGATGTCTTGTTTCGCCAAAATGAAACGTGCCGATCTGTCCAGGGGATCGCTTCGATCCTGCTCGGTCTTGTCTTGAACGCCTTGTCCAGATCTTCTGACCACTTGAGCCGTCTCGCGATCCTGTGTCCAAAATCCTTTTCCTGTTCCGTTGTGTGCTGCTACCCTAGCAGTTGAGTTGATTGTGAGTACTTGATCGATCCGGGCCAGATATCCCGGGATCGCTCTTCTCGATCTTGGCCAACAATCCAAGATCGGTCTTCTGTGTCCTTGTAACACGCGTGCCTTAACCCGCCGGGGAAGCCAAATCAATCTTGCCTGGAGAAGAGGGGAGGATAACGTGCGTCGTGAGCAGAAGAAGTAGAGTTCAAGTCTGTTTATTAACCAACCAAATTACTATCCAACCTACCCTTAAGCCTATTTTTAACTGTAGGTCACTCTTCAAACCGATATCGCCTTGAATCTGGATCGCCCCCTTGCCACGTGTCGAAATTTCGTGCCCTGTACTCCAATGATAGCGCCAATATTCCCGATACCGTACCTGAACGCCAAAAGAGGACCAAATCCCAAATGGGGTACCAAATACCCATTTTTGGTACCCAAAAGCCCAAAATAGTGCCCAAATGCCGAAGGCGTCTAAATCCATTTTGCGACGTCAATTCGGACAGCTTCCACTGGCTCTTTCGGTATGAAACTTCTTGACATCACTTAGTGACCTCTACCAAGTATATTCCACATGATCCAGTGTCTTCATCAACCATATATTCATGATCAGTGTGGAACATGACCGATCTGTCATCCAATATCGAGATGTTGGAGGTCGATCCGGTCTAAATCTACAATTAACACTTTTTATCTCCTCATACGTGCTTCAATATCATCCTCCAGTGTTATCCAATCGACCACTTCATTCATACGTCTCGACATCGGTTTCCTTGACTCCCCTGAGTATGCAAAACTTCCAGATCGGCGTATAATTAACCAAAATCAGTACTCCCAATTTAGGATCGGTAAAGAGTATCACCGATCCGTATGGTGTTGCACCTTCTTTGCCGATTCACCGACCTGTACCACCTGGTCCCAGATGCACTTTGGGGAGTCACCTTGTCCCAGATGTGTCAATTCTCCAACAAACCGTTGCCACAACATGCCGATCTGCGATCTGATCTTAGCCTGCTTCAATGTACGTATACTTCTTCTTGACCGGCATTCCAATGAGCTGTATGACTTCATCCCGACGTCTGGTTCCAAATCGCCCCATAACATTCTGCAAGGTGTTACACCTTCGTCGCAGAGTCATATCCCATCACCCGGTCCCAGATCCTTGTCCCAGATTGTTCCATGTAAATCGTTCCAGATCGCTCCGTCCCAGGTCGATTCACACCCATTAGTCTAACGACAGTTGGACCGGTTCGCCGATCCCGTTAAGATCATCTTCCACCTCCGTATTGGATCGCCAAGTCTCATGGCCTCCTTTTCCACCAGTAAGCGGCGCTTTAAAGGTGTGGCCACCGATCCTCGTACAAAATTTGAGTAGTGACTTTGCCACACAGTGGTGTCGGTTCGCCTATGGACACCACTTCGCAACGAGGTGCCAGTCCTTCTGTCGGCACGTCGCAGGAAGAGCGGGACCGCAATGTCTTGCGTCTCGCTCCTGAGAAGAAGGCATGGATACCTCCTAAATCTGTAATGGATCACTTGTCGTCGACGACAAGTGATCGTTATCGAACACGGTTGTTTGATTCGTCAAGGATCCATCACCTTGACCCCAGCGCGAAAAACTATCGCGCTGAACATTAGTTCTTTATCGATGTTTTCTTTAGACATCGATGGTACAGTGGGAATCACAAGCGTCATGGTCTCTCACAACTTCAAGCGTGGAACGCCTACATCCATAACCTTGAGGATGTAGGTCGTGACGCTTGGAACGACAAACTTATCAAAGCACGTGATAAGTTTGAAAAGAGAACCCCGACAGGTGCACGCTACAAGCTGCATCGTCTGGCAAGGGAGAAGGGATTACCTGCCTCTCATGGGGAGACTCGTGCCCATGTTGTGTGAACAAAGCTGCACGAGCACCTAAGGAGGCGTACCTCCTTACCAGCCCGTGGTGGCGCGTACGTATCTCTACTGAGATGTACGAAGGGATTGACAACCTGAAATCCCTTTACGACCGTGCCGGGAAGACTTTCTCCGGTGGTCCTTCTGCGGCACAGGATGTGCCGTGTCGTACTGCTCAACCAGACCCAGTACGTCGATCATCAGTTGGGAGCGGGGCTCCCAAGTATCCCAGGACGGGGGATAGCCGCGCCACCGGACGAGATAACTCGTCCGACGTCCGTCCACGTCGCGGTGGTTCAACAGCTGCTCAACTAGATAGCGCTGGCCACCGCGAGATTCCTCTAATGGAGGTGGAGGAGGAGGGAAGACGCTGTCCAAACTATCGTGGGGGAGCGTGTGTTCCCAAGAGCGTCTTTGATCGCGTAACTCTATCGTTGCGCGGCGACCTCGAGCTTGAGCGGGACAGGCGTCTCCAAATGGCGGACACTGTCTTGAAGCATCGAGCTGAGTTTGCCTTTGCTCAGCTTGAGAACGAGAGAGCTCTGACATCTCTTCGTGACGAGCTAAGGGTAGCTCGTAGGATTGTTGATCGGTCTCGGGATGAGATAACTGCTCCAGACCCTTGTCGATGCCCACCATCGGGAGCACAAGGCTCTCTGCGAGATGCTTGAGCGCAAGGGCGTTCTTCATCGGAAGAAGCAGCGTACTGATGGTACGGCTTAAGCCGACCAACGTAAAAAGTGGGATGCGTTCGCATCTTACGTGGTAACTCGATCGTGTATGCATTGCCTAGGCGGTGCAATACACGAAATGGGCCGATGTACTTGGGTAGTAGTTTACTGCTACCCAAGTTAGTCACGACATGCTTTGGTAGATTAACCGTAGACAGTAGGACTAAGTCACCTTTATTAAATAAAAGAGTGTTTGCCCTTCCATTCTTGTCAGCGTTTTGCTTTTGCTTATCCACCGCTTCGGCGATGGAGTCTTGCACAAAACGGACTACCGTTTCACGAGCCAGTATGAACTCATCTGATGACTCGTTAGCTTTAGTGCGCTGTGAGCGCACTGCAGCAACATCAACCTTTTCTTCAGTGAGGGCTTCCGCACTCTCACTGGCATCATTTTCTTCTATATCGATGTTATCGATATCGGCATCAAACGCAATGACCTCTTCGTCAGAGCGTGATGAGCGTGAACCAAATCGGTTTTTGCTCGCGCGAGTCCCTCCCCCCCTTAAACCAGAGTTACACTCTAGTAAGGTGGGTACACGTGGATGGCGTAAGCCATTCACGTAAACGGTGTATGTGTCGTGGACGCATGCACCGAGTTGTTAATGGCAAACTCTGCCATTGGCAAAAACTCACTCCAACTCTTAAAGAAGTGTACGTATCCTCGAAGTATCTCATCGAGGACACGATTGGCTCGCTCTGTCTGACCATCTGACTCTGGATGATCAGATGTCGACATCTTCAAGCGCGTTCCGAATGATTTGAACACGGAACGCCAGAAATCAGCAGTGAATCGTGGATCTCTGTCTGATACGAGTGCAAGGGGCAACCCATGAAGTCGGAAGATGGTGTCAATAAAGACACAAGCACAGCCACTTGCCGTGATTGTCTCTGGTACAGCCACAAGGTGTACCATTTTGCTGAATCTGTCAACAAATACAAGAATACCCGTATTCCCGCGTGCGTCTTTGGGTAACCCGAAGACAAAATCCATTGAGATGGATTCTTAGCACTCAGCCGGAACCGGTAGAGGCTGTAAAGGTGCACGCAGTGAAGGACTTGACTTCACTCGTTGGCAGACTTCGCATGCGCGAACATACTTTCGCACAAACTGATACTGGCGGGGCCAGTAAAAGTCTCGACTCACCGTGAGATACGTTTTCTCCCGGCCACGATGTCCTCCTCTACGAGCATCATGATACTCGAACATGACCCGCAAACGCAGGTCAGTATCATCTGGAATGAAAACACGTGGTGTGTCACCAGAAACGGCTGTATAATACAGTAACCCGTTGCGGGTAGTGTATCGATCTGATGCAGATCGATACGCAGACGACAATCGTTTCAACGATTGTCGAGACGGTTGTGAGAGATGTGTCAACAACTTCAAAATCTCACCCTCTTTGGCATACGCTCGCCTCACATCATCATGTAACGTTGAAGATGGCATTGTGGACGTCATAACCGCATCAGTGACTGTCTCACTGTTGGGTTTCACGACTATTTCAAAGTCGGGGCGACGTGAGAGTGCATCAGCGACGACATTAAGTCGTCCTGGTTTGTACTCGACCGTAAAGTTGTATTCTGCAAAGAATGACAACCACCGCGCCATTCGTTGTGAAAGGTGCGGGCTGTTCACTGCCGTGCGTAATGACGCATGGTCAGTGTAAACAATGAAGGGTCTATCCTCCAATAGATAGACTCTGAACTTCGCGAGTGCATACTTTATGGAAAGGATTTCCTTGTCATGCACTGGATAATTCCGCTCAGCTGGTTGCAGCTGACGCGACTGATAGCAGACGACGCGTTCAACGCCTTCAAGATCGTACTGCATTAATGCACAGCCGATTGCGAAATCGCTGGCATCACAGACCACATGAAATGGCCTGTCCTAATCGGCTATTGCTAGGACTGGGGATTGTATCAAGCTCTGCTTGATACCATCAAAGGAGCGCTGACATTCAGCGTTCCATAACCACCTCTCGTTCTTTTTCAACAAACGAGAGAGGTGTACAGTCATCTCGGCGTAATTGTGTGAATACTTATGCAAATACGCCGCTAGCCCAAGGAATTTTCGAAGACCTTTGACATCAACCGGCACAGGCTAGTCGGTGATCGCCTTGATCTTTTCGGGATCAGGACGTACACCGTTCTTACCAACGATGCACCCAAGAAGTGGTATTTCGCTTGTTGCAAATATACACTTCTTGAGGTTTGCATACAATTGATGCTTTCGCATGATCGTAAGAACCTGTCGGACGTGGTACCTGTGAACCTCAACGTCCGACTTTCCATCCATAGCTCGACTATGGATGAATACGTCATCGAAATAACTCGGCGCGAATTCTCGTACTGGTCTCAACAGATGTGATACACATCTGTTGAACGTGGCAGGGGCATTACTAAGCCCTTGTGGCATTACTAGCCATTCCCATAGCATGCCGCTAGGCGTGCTAACTGCGGTATAGAGTATATCCCGTTCTCGCATAAGGATTTGATAGAAGCCATCCATCAAATCCATGGACGAAAAGATGGTACTCTTTGACATACCATCAATGATTACGTCCTTCCTTGGTATTGGCGTCTGAGCCGGTACCGTTGCAGCATTCAACTTGTTAAATGCATGCACTATCCGCCACCCTCCCGTTGCTTTTCGCACACAGAAGGTCGGAGAGCTATGTGGGGAAGTTGATTCCCTCACATGGCCCGCAGCTAAACGATCGGCAAAGAACTTTTCGATCGCAAGTACTTGTTCACGAGGCAGTGGCCGCTGCTTCATGACACAGTACTTCGAGCTTGGTTTAAGCCCGACCTCGTGTCGAATACCTTTATCCTTCGGTAATTCGCACGGAACAGTTTCAGGGAATACATCCTTGAATTCAACCAAATCTTCATAGAGAGGATTTGTCTTGAGCGATTCCCACGATTGGGAGTCATATCGCTCAACTCGTGTCTTTTCATCTAGGACACTCTCGTCCATAGATGAACTACTGAAAAACTCTCTCGTTCTCAGTAAACACTGTTGCTGACCTTATGTCGGTTACACACTCGTCGTCAGCGACGAGTATGCAGATCTGCTTGACTTTGCCACTACGCAGATCACGCAAGAACCTTTTATGTTCGAGCGTTGGCAACTGAGTGATCTCCGAAGTCAACTTCGGAGGGGCAATCAGATCAAGTGTATAAGCGCCTACACTTGATCCATCATTGACTAGGACGTTCAATGTCTCTGTCATTTCCTGGGGACTCATTCCCTCGGGTTTCGGGGAACTTATTTCCGCCGTATTTGTAATATCGGGACTTATTCCCTTAACTTCCTCTAGCTGTGGTTGCGCAACCACAGCGAGATCCACTACGAAAGACTCTCCAGTCGATCTAGGATTATCGTTTCGCTTAACCTGAGCGATCGATTGTTTCTCTTCTAGATGTTCCCCGCTGGGGATACATCTTTGTCCCGGTCCACTCGACTTATTCGAGTGGTGGACCTTCGGCGCAGCCTGTGTTTCCTCACAGCCGCCGGAACCTTGCTTCGAAGTGTAACTGTTTGTTACACTAAGGTTTTGTGCAGTCGTACTAACGACCGTACCACAAGTGAGGCCATCGCACTCACTCGTAGTACATCCACACGCTTGTGGACGCTCCAAAACGTTCATCAGATGGCCATCTGATGAACAAGCGGCAGGCATCGTTACTGTTCGATGTTGCCAGTTTACACGTGGTTCGTACCTTCTGAGCCACGGTATTCCAAGGATGACATCAAATTTGTCATCCAAATCCAATACGATAAAGTCATCATCATATTGGGTATCTTCTAGCGTATAGTGGATCTTCACTATACGCTTCATGACGGTTACGGATGCGCCTGTCGCAAGACGTACCGTCATCCTCGTAAGAGGTATGTCACATTCACTAAACTTAAATTGACCATCTTCTAGCGATTGGCGTCGCACAAAATTGTTGGACGCCCCACAATCGACTAGAGCTCGAAGGGACAACTTATTCGTCACTTCGAGTTTCAAGGTAATGAGTGAGATCTCATTACCTAGAGCAGCAACGCACAACGTTTGTGTGTTGGGAGCAACCTTCATCAAGAGGCCTACAAATTCTCTTGACGTTGCTGGACCAGTAGGGTGCTCCGCACCTACTGATCCTGTCCGTTTTTTGACGGTCCATCCCGTTGTTGCGTCTTTGCACCAACAGCGGACCCGCGTCCCTGCCCCTTTCTCATGGGTGGACGGTCACTGCGCCCAGTGTTGCGAGACACTCGTCGAGGGGCACTACACTTGTAAGCGTAGTGTCCTGTCTTATGACACCTGTTGCATTTCTGCAACTTCTTGTAGTCTGTAAAGTGAGCCTTCTCGCTCTCTACATAACAGAGTTCCATCGGCTCTGGACCTCCGCTGTCATATCGTCTCGGTTGACGATATGATGTCGAGCTGGCGCGAGCCTGTCTCAGACTGAAGTCTTCCTGCTCCGCAATGGAAATGGCTTGTTCTAGTGAATCTAGTTCAAGCCGGAACAGGTGAGTCTTGACGGGACCATCCGCAAGACCCTGCATGAACACCAAAACCAACGTGTGTTCATCAACCGGGTTGGAACTTATACAACTCGTGAGATGTCGTATGTGTTGCGCGTAAGCGTGCACATCACGCTTACCTTGCTTGAGCTTCAAGAGTTCAGTTCGAGCTCTGAACTCAGCTCTAGGCGGTTCAAACGTTTGTCTGAGCCGCGACTTGAAGACTTCCAACGACCCAAACGCATATAGGTCGTGCAACTTGAGCCCCAGTGCCCAAGTCTTGGCACGTCCTGCCAGATTTGACTGGGCAAATGCAACTTGCATATCCCCGTCATCGATGCGACGCGCCCTTATGGCGTCATACGATTCGACGAACCATCTCAAGAGGGAGTCCTCTTCGACTCCCCTATACTTGGAGATGTCAATCTTCAAGGTTTCGGGTCGACACGAGTGCATCGACCCACCAGCAGCAGCCTGCT